GGGAAAAAATTCAGCCCTCAAAGATTACAACTAAGTGTTCCACAGTGAAATCAATACAGAAAAGGGATATATGTAATAGGTGCATGGGTAAGGAAGAAGGAAATAAATACGTTAATACAGCATCAGTATGCCTTCCCTGGGTTACTGAAGAGAGGAAGGGTCATCTGCTGTAAGGTATTTCTAATGCATCCCTTCTCCACTGCATCAGATGACAATGCAGAATTTCTGTTTAAAATTAACAATACTACTCTTTTCCCTCATCAAAATACCACTATTACAAAGTCTTGAGGTGGAATTCAGCTCCGCACTTAAGTTAACCTACATTTAGCTGTCCATGTTTCAGTTCAGTGTTTAAGCTCCCATCACACACGGAATCAAAAGAAATAATGGAGACTAGATAGCAGTTTGGCTCACCATGAAGGATAAATCCAAGTGGCGGTGAAGAAAATGGTCCTACAGGCTCCACTAACTGTACTGGCTGCGGATGGGATTCAGTTACATAAACACTGGCACTTAGTGCCATTTGAGACATTCAACAGTATCCAAGACATGTCCAGTGGTGCTGCCAGACACGACACATAACTTACCCTTTTGGAGCAGGCATTGGAGTCCAGTAAGAAAAACTTAAAACCACACTCTTTTGGGGCAACTAATTCTCCGTAAACTGAGTTTAGACACATACAGAGATAAGACTCGGTCACCTGAAGACACCTGGAACCACTTGAGATGTCCCACAGCACACTGTCTGACCCTCAGCTCCCATTCCAGAAAGGGATAGGTCTCCCACAGGACCTTTGAAACATCCACCTGTCCCATGATGACATCTTGAATACCCCCTGGTCTCTTGGAGGACACTAGATGTCTGTGCTTAAGCAACTGAATCCTGACCCTACATGTAAATACATGTATTTAGATACCTGAATCTACAGCCCCATCATACCCTTTCTCTGATAAATCTGTGTAATGGTATCTTCCAAGCACATTCAGTATCAAAACCACAGAGCAACAGCGAACACACTAATGTTGCCAACATAAATGGGATTAGCACCATGTGCTTCACTGTAAATGGGCATCAGACTGATTCACGCAGCAAAATGGTTTGTTTCTGGGTACACTGTGGTACTGCAGCTCTGTATATTTGATTTCACCAACTCATTTACAGAAATTAAACACTTGGCAAGGCTACAAATTACAGAGAAAGTAGCTTTCCACAGTACTGAATTAATTTCAGTGGCTAGCATCAAAATGGCGAAATGGAAATAGCTTGAAATTTTGAAGCCTTTGAGATCAGTTCTTTCCTTATCTTAATATAGCAAATACAGTAACGTTGGTATTAAATTCTTAGAATCTATCGTCTCAATTTTTCATCCTCTCTGTATATCATAGAATGGTTTGGGTTGGACCAACCCCTCTGCCATGGGCAGGGACACC